CAGTCACATTACAGAGGGAAAATGAAAACTCGCTGGCCAGAAAACACAAGTTTTCTTTCCACCTCTTTCATACAGACCCCAAAAACTTCACTCCAGCACTGCAAAAACTCAAATCTTTTTCCTTTTGATCAACATGTAAACTCAGCTGACAAATCATTTTTTTTATCCTTTCTAGAATTCACTGCTCCTTGACAGGGCAATGTACAAACTATATTCAGTAGTGTCAGAAAATACAGCTCCATAAAAGCTAATTGAAGAACAATCAACTAAAACCTATTCAAAGAGTTCATCTGCGTATTTTATCTCATGTACTACTTCCTGTGCTCAGGACTTTATCAAATCAATAAAGTGCAGTGCTCATAAGTATTTTGCAACTTCAGTGAAATTTGTTTTACTATAATGGGAATGCTTTTTAATTTGAAATCCTTTGATCTCTTTTCCTTTTGGTTTTTGTTTGTTTGTTTTGTTGTTTTGTTTGTCTGGTTTTGTTTTTTGGGTTTTTTTGCGTGTGTGAATAGCATAATTGCATAATTTTGTTTCAAGAGTTTTATCATCTAGTAATAGCCTTTGTCTCTTATGCTATGTCACTAATCATTTTTATATAAAGATTTCAATAGTCACTGAAAAAGTTATTTTTTCCCCTCCTTACCTCGAAGCTTAAATTTCTATTAGATTAGCTGTTCCAAAGAACACACAGAACTGCCAAGAAAAAGTGGCAAAGTTTCTTTCACAAATAATCTTCCCTTGCCTATGCCTGGCACAGTTGGATCTCTTGGAAATACCTTGCTTTTCCTTTACTTTAAAGCATGTGCAACAAACAGTGATGAGTTGTCCTGCAGTGAGTTAATTTTTGAGCATACAAAGCGAAGAGGATGCTGGACAGACAGGCCAGTGCTGCCAGTAACTCCCCACGATGTAATTCATAGTCCCCTCATCTATTTTTCCCACTCAAAGTTACACCCAGAAAAAAACATCTGTCACCTCCTCTCAAAGCTCTCGAGTGCAAGCTTGAGAAGTCCACTTCTGATATCTTCTGCTCTCACAAGAACTGACAACACTGTAGGGAGCAGCACTGCTGTAAGGACAATAAAAATTAGCAATCTTTCTGTAATACTTAACAGATATTAATTTTTTTCCTCTTTGGTAAAAAATTAATTATTAACACACTAGATAATGGAAAGCACAAGAGTGAATTAAGTATCACCTTGTGACAAGTGGGACAAGAGCTGAATTCCAATCATGATGTATAGTAATAAAACAGAATAAAAAAATCCACAGAAACAGACTGCCACTAGGACACAGGAAAATTTAACTTTACCGATCTGTCAATGCTACAGTGTTTCCAGTTAAGAAATTAATGCATGGAAGTTGATGAAGCTTCATTTTGGCACTAGCTTGTTGCAAGGCATAAAAAGTGATGCAGCATGATAATATTAGCAGAATTTGAGGCCTATGTTCATGTTTACCAGGGACCGTTTGATTAACAGTTCTTTCATTAAGTTTTACAATCAATGCATTCCATTATATTCCACTAATCAATGCAAAACCAGAGACTAATTCTTCAGAATAATTTTATTAGCAATGAGGAATATAAATCTCTTATGAAAATATTCTTAACATTTCAATATATAAGAATTGTCTATAAAAATATACTACTACATAACAAAGCCAGTAACTTCTACAAAACATGTAATTCAACATATATTTAACAATATATAGGACATAGCAAAAATCCTTTAGTTAATGTTGAGGGTATTTTACCCCTTTTGTCAAACAATAATTCACATAACATAGGAAATTACTCATTCTGATATACAGAAGTTATCACCGTAGAACTCTATGTATGTTCCCCCCTGAAGTCACCTGCATCTGCAGGAACATAAAGCCACAATTTTTCTTTGGATGTACAGGCAGTTATGACCCCAAAAAAAATCTGCTGGTAGCTGCAATGTCCTGCTGGAGTCAGTGATCACATCTGCTGTCAGCACTGCCAACACTGAATCCATGCAGGAACAGAGACAATGTTTTTATTACCCTTGTGGTGCTGATCCACAGATGAGCCTGCCATGGTAATCATGGTTAGAGAACTAAAAAAACAGACTCTTCCTGGGTAACTACTGCTAGTTAACAAGGAAATAACTTCAAAAGAGGCTGCCTCCCTAGAAATAATCCTCCAACAGACAGCTCTTAAACAAAAGCTCCTGGAAGAGAAAATACCATGGGAGTAGTTGCTTTTTAAAATTATGATCAAGGGAAGTATGAGCCATTTTGTCATTACTAATTCCAGGAAGCACCATCTTGAACCACTTTTGGAATTGGGAATCTGTTTTCAGAATAAAAATTACACATTTTAACTAGTAATATCACCAATGCTGTTATGTTGAGATTATTTCATGCCTGGTGTTAGGTGCCAGAAATTCATTTTAATTATATAGACCACCCTTGTCTACACAATGAGCTTGCCAAATTCTTGGTGTAGACTTATTTAAAAGCTCTTATTTCAAGGGCTTTAAAAGTATACTTTAAATAACCAACTGAACCTGAAAGAAATTGGCTGCTGCACAGTGACAGTACAAAGCCATCAGTTTTCTATAGAAGAGCTGGGTACATAAGGCATTAAGGCTACAAAGTCTCACTGAAGACCACCAGCAATTACAGTGTCTTGCATAGTAAAGAACATATGAACCAAACTTATGATGTATCAGTAACAACTAAATCTTTTTATCCCTATGCTTCTGTGCAAAATTACCAGCAATTAATTATTACTCTTTTTATTCAGAATCCACTGAAATCAGAACACTGAATTAATATTACAATGCAATTGCAAATGCAATGCAACAATATTCCATCATATTATATAGGAAGGAGTTGCTATTAGAATAGCATATTTATAAAGATCACAGCACAGACAATGAACATCAATATATTTCTGAATCAAAGCTCAGAAAAATAACTTTTGGCCCTGAGAAACTTGCTGTATTAAAAAGTTAAAGAAGATCAAGATCTAAAAGAATCAAGGCTCAGCCAGTTTCAGTTCAGATTCTCAAACTGTTAATTTTTGAAAAAAGTTTTACCATCCCAACAGATATTTTAAGAAATTTTTTCAATTTAAAAACCCCAGCATTTCATGGTATCCACACTTTTGTAAGTTCATTATCTTTAAGGCTTGCAAATAATATTTAGGTTTTCAGCCTATATATGAGAGGAAGAAAAATTTTAAAACTGAGGTGGTTGAAGAACTTAAAGCTTAAATGTTTTTCATTCCCAACATCATATAGAAAAATCAGTTAAAGAAACTACTTTGTCATGCTTTATGGATAGAGAAGCCCTAGTCAAGTCCTTCATTCTCATTCCAGTTAAACAGTTCCCTGAAAGATCAATCAAAATCAAAACAATATTCCAAAACATATATCCACCAACATAGGTTCCTGTTTAGATTATTATTTTAACAACTTAAATATTTAGCAAGGTTTAAGAACAGCAAGAGGAAATAAGCAGATGAAGCCATAAGGAAACCCTGTATGTTTGAACAAAGAAAAAGACACAATCATCTGGGGGTTTTGGCACAAGAAATATATTGAAAGAGTTTCTGCTAGAAATTGAGACAAAAATTACAAACCACTATACCTAGATGTTGATTTCTGGTCATGTAGCATATTTTCTATATTTACTTATGTGTTAAGGGCAAGAAAACAACCCTTTCTTCGGTAACCTGTTCTTCTCTACTAAGTGTAAACAAGATCATTGAAATCACAGGGACTAAGGATGTTTTTTAATGTAAGCTTCCATATAATTTTTATTCCGTACTGATAAAGCAGCATTCATATGATGTAATTTAAACTACTACCAAATTCTACTTCCTAATGTTTTTATACTGTCATCAAGTTTAGGCTACTCCAGTTTTGCTCTCTCCAACAACCTTACTAAGAAGATATGTACTGGATCAGCTCCCAGGGGTAGCTCATCACATAACCACATAAGCATGGAGCCAAGAGGAGAGAGCAGGGCGAGCTGACAATCCAAGTTTCCATCAATCTGAACAGCTTTGGAACCACACCTTTCTAAGTGGCAATTCAAACACATGCATATTACACATGAAGTGAAGCAGTAAAAAATGCAGTCTGTTTTCCTCCCCTCCCCTGAAAGCTGCTCTCAACGGCAGTGATGGTTAAGCAGCAGAAAAACAATCCCAGTTAACAGTTTCAAGTATCAAACAAAAAGGGTGCCAAACTGGAATTTTATTATTATGTGAGGTTTTTAAGAGATAATAGAGCAGTTTCCTGACCTTGTCAGCAGTAGCTGAGCTTCAGTGTTCAGGAAAAGCAGAGAACAGACAGCTATAAGCAGGAACTGATTCTACCACTCAAGTGGAATCTTCTCATATCCATAAACACATTCAGATTCAGAGTGCAGGTTTTACCTACAGAAACTTGGACAAAGACAGCTCCTCATATCCAGATACATGGAAAAGGTTTGTCTGCGAGGTAATGAAAAACACCTGGAGGACAACTCAGTCATTGGTCCCAGCCAGCACGGCTTCATGAACGGCAAGTCTTGATTGTAAAACCTGATTTCTTTCTAACTAAAGGGTAGCCCACCCAGTCAATCTAGGAAAGCCAGTACACATAATCTATTTGGACTTCAGCAGAGCCTTTGATACTGTCACAGCATCCTTCTGGACAAAATGTGAAGCTCACAGCTGGATAACTGTGTTACACAGCAACCAGCTCACAGGTCAGGCACAAAGAGTTACACAGAATGGGGCGGCATCGGGCAGCCTGTTTCTAACGGGCTCTAAACTCAGCCCAGTTCTCTTCAATATCTTCATTAATAACTTGGATGCAAGACTCCAAGGAATATCAAGTTTGCTGATGACACTAAATTGGGAGGAGCTGTTGACTCCCTCAAATGCAGGGAGGTCCTGCAGATAACCTTGATAAATTAAGAGGGCTGGGCAACCAAACATGAAGTTTAGCAAGGTCAAGTGACAGATTCCGCACCTGGGGTAGGGCAACAGACATACTGGGGAATGAGGCTGGAGAGCAGTACCACGGAAAGGGATCTGGGGGCCCTGGCAGATTGCAAGGTAAGAGTCGGCAGTGCCCTGCCAGCCAGGAGGCCCAAGCGTGTCCTGGGGCACACTGGGCACAGCATGGCCCAGTGTCCCTGCTGCTGCACTGGGTGTTGTACTGAGTGCTGGGGCAGTTTTGGGTGTCATAAGGTAAGAAAGACATTAAGGTCTTAGAGAGCTTAACGGAGGGCCACAAAGACGGTGAAGGGTGTGCAGGGGAAGACTTATGAGGAGTTGCTAAGGTCACCTGGCCTGTTCACCCTGGAGAAGAAGAGACTCAGGGGACACCTCACTGAGGACTTCAACATCCTCATAAGGGGAAGTGGAGGGGCAGGTGCTGATCTCTTTTCCCTGTAGTCAGTGACAGAACTCAAGTAAATGCCCTGAAGCTGAATCAGGGGAGGTTTAAGCTGGATATCAGGAAGAGGTTCTTCACCCAGAGAGTATTTGGGGACTGGAACAAGCTCTCCAGGGAAGTAGTCACAGCACTAAGCCTGTCTGATTCAAGGAACATTTGTACAATGCTCTCAGGCACATGGTGTGACTCTCAGGGTGTCCTGTGCAAGGCCAGGAGCTGTACTCAATCATTCTGACAGGCCCTTTCTGACTCAGTATATTACGATACTCTGACCCTAAAGTACTATTTGCATTCTGTGCCTTTGAAATTGAAGTCCCTGGATCTGCTCTGACAGGATGCAATGCTTATTGGCAAAGGAAAAGACATGTGACCAGACATCTACAAAGCAAAGAAAACATCCACCACCTTTAGTGATTTAGAAAAAAAAATCTATCAAGTCTACAGAACATAACATTCTCTTTTAGAAAAACACTAGACTGAGAAAGTAACTGAAAACCTCAAGATACAAAAGACCAAATAAAGATTATAATTAAAATTTTCTTTAAACTTTACTAAGATAAGACCCAAAAGTTTCAACTTGGGAAAATTCTACTTCCTGATACTAAATGTTTAGTCGTCCTGAAATGTGAAGGACACCAAGATCAGTAATAAAAGTATTTTTCTTTAGTATTTGTTGCATTCAAGATAAAGTCTACTGAAGTGAGAAGATCTGCAAGAGAAGTGAAAAAAACCGACTTAAAAGGGCCAGCATGAGAAGTGGGATTGAAGTTGCCCACTAGGACAGTCTGATGCAGTGTGGATGCCTGAATGTGATGTGTATGCATAGTGTCACCCTTCCACCAAGCTCTCCTCAAACCTCTTCTGCAGAATCTCTGTATGACCTTGGCCAACCAGTATTTTCTGTGAAACTGCAACTACATTGCATTCTTGTACATTCTTAAAAAACAGGCAAAAGTTTTAATGTAAATCCTTCTAAGTTTATGAAGGCAAAGAAGACTCAAACTTGGTCTCATAAAGAACTTCTGTACAGAAGAATCTAAAAAGGGTCATAAGCAGCATTAAATATAACCTATATTAAATACCTAAAAAATATAATCATTTGCATAGAATAAAGGAAAGTGCAGCTACAGCGCAGCAGTTCATACCAGAAGAAAGTGCTCATTTATGTGTGGTATAGAAATAACTGTTGTGTCTCATCAGTGAGACTGCAGCAACTAAAGACATGTTTACAGGAAAAATTAGGTGATTAGGTTGTTTCACTATGTCTGTGAAGTAAGTGCAAAAACTTAAATTACTTTTTTAAAAAAAGCAAAGCTGATAGGAAATTTTCATCAGTTAATTTTCTTTTCTTATTACTTGGAAAAATGAAATCCTTTTGTTTTATTTTTTTTTCTTAGAATCCAAATTAAAGCCACATTTGGCATCTGTTTTGTGCAAAATAATAATTAGAAAGCTTATAGAAGTACAAGCTTTATCTGTTCTATAAAAGCTGGTTGTTTACGGATTATCAACTCTTCATGCCCTTTTAACTTTTGTACTGCAATCCCTGTGGTAATCAAGCACAGAATAGTATTAAGTCTGGGAGACTTACTTCCACTGCTCTGAAAAACAGTGTCTAAGTGGAGAGTCAGGAACTTCAGGAAAATAAATATTGTACACTTTTGAAAGGAAGCAACATCTTTTAAGTATCTTTCTACTGCCCATAGCAGCATGCCTAAAAATAAGAAAGGAAAGTATACACCTCATCAGTTGCCAGAACATCTTCAATTTTGGTTAAAGAAGTCAACTTATTTTACTGGATATAATTTGGTACTACAATTTGGTAAATGGGATATTTAAAATAAATAAAAATAAATATTGTATTTATGCATCTTTCAAGATTGCTTGTTTCTGTAAAGAATTATTGTCTATATAGTTAGATTTCCCTCTGTTTAGCTTTTTTCACACTGTGTCTCCACTTACGAATGGCAGTTCCAGAACTACTGGCTACTACACAAAGGGCACCACCCACAGTCCACCAGGTTGGTAAATGATTGAGAAAAAGAACTTCTAAAATAAAAGCAAACACCACATCCATTGTTCTCATTATTGCTACAGGTCCAGCTTTCTCTATCTGTAATGCTTTTGTGAGAAATATCTGACCCCCCAACCCTAACAAGCCTATTAATATTAGAAAAACCCTATCTCTACCACAATGTGGCAAGCGCCATTCATTCAAAACAAACAATGTTATAACACATCCAATTAATCCAATGACTGCATAATACCAAATTGACAAAAAGTAATGCACAGATTTTCCCACCTTCCTTAGTATAACAATAGTCGAAGCTGCGGATAACGTGCTTGCAGTCGCTGCTATAGTTCCTTTAAGGTGATCTGAGTAACTTCCTTCAATCCCTGTAACATGTGAGCCAAACAGAAATGGTGGTCTGGCAATAAGAATCACTCCAGTGACTGCAAAGAGAGTAAACAGAAGATCCCAAAGGCTGTATTTCTCTTTGAGAAAGATCCATGCCAGCAATGATGTAAAAACAGGACTGGTAAAAGTTATAACAGTGGCATCAGCTAGTGACATGACTTGGTAAGCATAGTAGAGAAGAACCATTGCAGTAGAGCCAAGGAATCCTCGGAAGAAAAGAAAAATTCTTTTACCTTTTGGTCCCAAAAACCCTGTTCTGAAAAACAGAAATGTCACATTAATGTCACTATCTTGCTTACTTCATGACCAACATCCAAACATATTTAAGTATGTTATACACCTTTCTAGACAAGGGAGTTTAACACCCAAATACTCTTAACTGTCTTATCACAGACCAGTTTATATCCATCATGACCCCCACTCACATTCAGAGTCCAGAACTTGCTCTTCTAGTGATTAATTATTCCCTTGTAAAAGAACTCAACAGTTTCTACAAATTGCCTTCTGTTTTTTTTTAAGATCAGCTCTTTGTGGAAATCAAAGCATTTGATACAATAATCCTAGTAGAAGCCTCTACCATTCAGGGAGTCAAAGATTTTCAGTTTTCTGAATTGTATTAAGAAACAATTAATCTAAAATAATGCAGTTATGCAACTGAAGTCCTAACTAAAATAACATTGCATTGCAAAATTTTAGTGATTGATAATTCCAGATAAAGTTTTAAGAAATAACTTGAAATTTAAACATTTTTTACACTTACTTGTAGTATATTAAACCAGGAAGAACAAATGCCATTTGGAAAACACATCGAAATGCACTCACTTCCACTGAATGTACATCTTCTATTTTTTTAAGTAATAAAGAGGCCACTGAGAAAAGGAAGGCAGACAGTATGGTATAAAACAGACCAAGTCCTGGGCACGCAGCTTTCTTCTTTGCCCCTGCAACAGATAAACTAGAGTTAATAAGATCTATTAGAAGACATACCTGGTCAGGCAGCTCTGCACACTGCAGTGCTCCACGTATCTATAGAGATTTTTGCGATGGAGAACAGGGGAACCAAAGAAACAAATGCAATTATTACATGCATTTACCAAATCTACCATGAAAACACTTTTCACTGACCATCATGGGTCTTCTTTTTTTCTTAAAATAAAGTGTAATAGATGAACTCTAACACTTGGGATACAAAACACTACAGTTCTACATGAGTTAGTACAGTTAATTTGTAGGTATCAGACTAGTATGAGTAATTTACTATAGGGACTAGTCACAATTCTGCCCAGGACCCAATAAATATAACTGACTACAAAACACTCCACATTCAGATTCTGAAACTATTATCTTGGGAATCACCTTTTTAGTTAACTAAAGTTCCAAAGCAAAATTTTAATTTCCTTTCTCACAAATATATGTCTATATATATATAATATAAAATCTATATAAAGAACTTAATTCTTGTTATACTTCATGTTTATTTTGCAGCTAAATCACCCTAAATTTTACCTAGACTGGGAACATTTTTATCTTGCTGTAAGAATCCAAGTATTTTCTTCAAATAGTCATCAAATACAGATTTTTAAGCAGAATAAATTTAAGTAACTAATGTTAGAACATCAAAGGCCTGATATCTATCATAATTCCATGAAGACCTTAGTTTATGCTTATTTATCAGACTTCCCCTTCCTGAAAGTTTTCCAAGTCTAATGTTTCTATTCAAGTTTCCTCATTGCCTCAGGCTCTCTTCAACAACATACTCTTCCTCGTTCCACTCATTTTCTCCACACTGAACTATTAAAAAAAAAAAGGCAAGGAGAGGGAGAACTGTGAGACAGAGAACTGTGTTGAGGTCAGCAGCAGCAATCTCCAAAGAAATCGGCCTTTTTTGTTATTGCTTTGTTGCATAAAAGGAACAGAATTTCCACTGAACCGAGAAGTGAACACCAAGGAAAATAGAGCCCATCTGAAAAGCTGAGTGGGAAGTCACCTCACTATCTTGTTCTTTTCCTCTACTTGCATAAAACACTGGGAGTTATCTTTTCTTCTGTGACTCCCTCTAAAGATAGGAGCAAGAACTCCATGTCCCAGAGGCAGTGTTTTGATAAAAAGGTGCCTCATCTCACATAAGTGTGGCAGCCTGTGAGCCTTATGCATCCCCTAAAACATAATCAGCTGGGTACTGCTGCAAGTTGCTTAGCAACTAAGTATGGTTTTGAGAGTTTTGGTTTTTTTTAATTAACAAAACTTGTCACAAACCATTTTGATCCTCCTTGAGATCAGCACCCAAGGCTGAAAAATTGCATCTTACTGCCTAGAAGGGGAGACTGCAGGCTGACAGTCCTAGGGACCCAGGCTTTACAACTGCAACCA